TATTAATTTTTTTATTAAGAAACTACAAAGCCTACTCAATTTCAGTGCATAAAAGTAACTTACTCTTGACAAGGAAAAGACCATGTTTGGTACTGATTCCAAAACACCAACTATATCATTTTTGGTCTCAAAGAAATGTTGATGAACATTATAATGTGCATACATGATTAAGGAGATATTCACTCTAATCAATTTGGCCACAAATAGAGCCGTTGTTCTAGAGCAGTTGTACCTTCATGAAGTCAAGTTTTTTTTTTCAAGGCATTTAACACTATACAACCACATATATCTGTTGTAAGCTTTTAGAGGGTGTGTCTCATTCATTATTATATCGATGACACTGAACAATCTGATCAAATACTGATCCGACGGCCACCTGTTTTTAGCTTGAGGAAGACAAATTTTAAAAATGTGGGTTATTTAATCACATACACGTATATGGGCAGGGCCGATTGTCATACATAGAAAATTTATTCTATCGGTGAAAAATTGATCTGACGGCCACCGGTTTTTAGCTCGAGGAAGAAAAATTGTTCAATTCAAAAGTCGCCGCAAAAAACTGGGCTCTGGACATAATTTACGGCTTGTATCGTTTTGCCGTGTATAATGCGATACTGCATGAATAATCTGCACGGTACACTACAAGCGTATTTCCATCGGTTCGGCGCACTACGGATCAGAGTCGAGTGTGCCAGCAGCTCGCAGCCATAGTTTCTAAATGGTGTAAAGTGGCCAGGAATCGCCTGAGATTGCACCACAGGATATCTAAAATACAAATTTTTCCGGGGCCCTTTGGGCCCGGACCCCACGCCGTAAGGTCCGAGTCCATCATCTTACGAAGACTATACACACAGAATTTACAGACATGAAAACAAATTGATGCAGCAAAGCCCTCTGTTTTTGTTTACTTTAATTTACTTATTTTTTGTTGTTTGTTTCATATCTCACTCAGGGAAAATGAATCCAAGCACCATTTGCCCCACAATTGTGTACACTTACCCAAGGGCGGATCCAGGGGGGGCCAAAGGGGGCCATGGCCCCCCCCCCCCAAAACGAAACCAATTTTTTTTTTATTTTATGTGACATCGCAATAAAGGCAGGCAATGAGTACACCACCATCTTTTCCTCAAAAAAACATTGGTTAAAGTGGTCAGAAATTGCCTCAGATCGCACCACAGAGCATCTAGAACCCCACGCCGTAATTTTTTTGACCCACTTTTTTGGGGGACCAAATTTTTTTGGGCCTCCCCCCCCAAATTGTGTTCTGGATCCGCCCTTGCACTTACCCGGTATAGTCCAGCGGATATGTGATAAAATTGTGCACTTTTTCATAAAAGTGTAAAATTTGGCACAGATGTTCATATTCATGCGAGAAAATGTTTTAGATGTGGAGCCATTGCAAATTTATCCTTTTAGGGGCGTGGCAGCCATTTAAAACAAAAGGGGGATTCATCATGCCCGCAGTGAAAACAGTTGTTCCCACTTGTCATAAAAGCAGGAAACTTCACAAAGACATAATTATATAGATTAAAAGGGGGGGGGGTTGTAATTATTATGCCCACCTTGGGAAAAATTGTGCCTACATTTTATGAACAAATGAAACTTCCCACAGATGTTGATATTCATGAGAAAAAAAAATTAGACGAGCAGCCATCTCAAACACACCCTTTTAGGGGCGTGGCAGCCATAGTAAAATGGGGGGGGGGGTATGATGCCCCTATCAAAAAGTTGTGCCTACAGTTAATAAACGGATTAAACTCCAGACAATATATTCGTGGGAATCTTTCTTTTTTTCGAATTTGAAGCCATCACAAAATTGCCCTTTTAGAGGCCTGGCATCCACTTTTGAAATGGGGAGGGGTTCTCAATATGCCCACCGTGGAAAATTTTGACCACCTTTCATAAACAAATTCCACCTCAAATAGCTCTTCTAACATGTTGGAGTAGGGCTGCTTTAATAGTTGGTGACTGTTGGAAAACCCTGTTTTTCTTACACAGATGCATTCTTGCCCAATCTATATTAACCCAGTTACTGGTTCTGTTGTCTAGAATTATTGTTAACCTCTCAACTGCAGCAATTTCTAAACTGGGGTACCTCGGTCAGTCTTGGCAAGACAATTGTTAGTTCTTCAAATACATGTACATTATATGTTTCCCATGCCTTTTTTTTCTGACAGACCCAAAGGCATATGCAGTGTTGCAACCTGTATAAAGTATACAATTTTGTCTGGGCTGCTGAATTTTTTAATGGATTTGGTTGAGGTAAAACACTCATCAGAGATATTGATGTACCATTTTTTAGTGAACAGAGGGGGTGGTGGGGGTACACAGATTCATTGAATTCGAAGTCATAGTGGACCACCACTTTGTGAGGAAAGTGCATCGTGTTGTGACCCGATATGCTGTCAACGCGGCATAGGGGGTATGGGGATTTTGCACCCCCATCAGGAGAAAAAAAGAAAAGAAAAGAAAAAAAGAAAGAATGGACTGAAAGTCAATATTTGGCTTCACTTTTAACGTACTGTATATTGAAGTCTCCCCCCCCCCCCACGTTAAAAAGGATTTCCTTGACCCTTAAATGTTAAATGTTAGAGTTTGGTGCTACTATTGCGTGTTGTGTGTTTATAATTATTATAAGATGGAATTTTGGGAATTGTGTATTTATAATTATTAGATCACTCTGGAATTTAGATGTGCATGATAACATACACGTAGGTACATGTACACACGTTGAACCGTATTCGTGTGACAAGGAAAAGGACGTTAGCAGGCCAGGCACGCAAAAAGTGCTTTTGGAGATAATCGAGTTGAAAGTTTTTGTGCTGCCATTTCTTGATTCAAAATCACATAAGGTTGAAATTTTGACTGATGACTTTCGTTCATAATTAAATAATATTGGGCATTTTTTTTATGTCAAAATATTACTTAATTGTAAAGTTATTTCAATGCCAATGCCAACAACCTGTCACCGGGAACTTCCCAAGCCTTAAACGTACGCTTAAGCGGCATGTTTAATCCTTACGTCCTTTTGTCGGGAACAAAATTGGCTTTGCGTACCCACTTGGGTGGGATGTTAGCACGCTTTGAACATTTTTTGTTACATTAGTATTACATTTTAACATCCTTTTTGCCAGGCACAAAATCCCCCTTCCGTCTTTTGTTTACTGTTAATTACGTCAGAATGACGTCAAAAAGATATTTCCAAGCTCTTTTGATTATCCGAAAAATCTGAATTTAACCTTTTGACCCATTTTTTCGCCCGTACGACCTTCTTCCAGGCACCCGATTAACTAGTTAGCCTACTTACCCATGCTCTTTGGTGTAAGTCGTAGTGTTACCAAAATAATGTCATATAGGTTATGGGTTATGGGCCAATCACCATTATAAGCAATCAGCCACAAAATATAAAAATTGCAATTGTGGGCATAGTGAGTAGGCCCCTCACACCTCTAAAGGAAGGGTTTGCAGTGGCTCTACATCTGAATTTATTTTCCTTCACGAAGTCTGTGTGAACATTACTCATTTATGAAAGGTAGGCACAACTTTCCATGGTGGGCAAATGATAAGTAGCATCCCCCATTTTTTTTCAAATGGATGCCACACCTCTAAAAGAGTAAGTTTGTGATGGCTTCATATTAAAAAAAAAAGAATTCTCATGAATATATTGTCTGTGTGAGGTTTAATCCATTTATGAAAGGTAGGCACAGTTTTTTTTATAGGGGCATCATGACTACCCCCCTTATTTTAATATGGCTGCCGCGCCCCTAAAAGGGTGTGTTTGCGATGGCTTTATATCTGATTTTTTTTCTCATGAATATTAAAGTCTGTGGGAAGTTTCATTCATGTATGAGATGTGAGAATTTTTTTCCAAGGAAATAATGAGAATCCCGCCCCCTTTTTCAATATGGCTGCCACGCCCCTAAAGGATGTGTTCGCGATGGCTCCACATCTGCATTTTTTTCTCATGAATGTCAATGTCTGAGGGAAGTTTAATTTCTTTATGAATGTGGGAACAGTTTTTCCATGGTGGGCATATTGAAACCCCGCCCCCCCTTTTTTTTCTAATATGGTTGCCACGCCAGCATAGAGCTACAAACCCTATGTAGCTAGCCCAGGTTGGACGAAGTCTTCATTGCATTACGACTGACCGTAACATAGGGAGGAAAGGGAGTCCACCTGGGCTACCTATGTAGCTAGCTCTATGCACGGAGCTACGGCTACGAATTATTGTCAATGCGTCCCTGCGTATTTTCACTGGGCGTGAACGTGCTCTAGACAATTGATTCGGATGTGTAGCTTTCACTTTAAGCTTCACTGTACTGCGCCTTTAACGCATCTTGTATACATGTTACATGTAGTTCAGAGGTCAACCTTCGTGCATTCATTCATTCAGTGTCGTTTCGTTATCGTTCGTCTATACTAGTTTTCTGTCACACACACACGCAATTTTTACAGTGCATTTTCTATACTTTCGCTTGGAAGTTACAAGCTACCGTAGAATCAACACTATTCTTTACATGACTTAGTAAACATCGGCAGAGCTATTCCAGTGAGCAATCCAAGCTTCTCTCGTGGATGTTTGAGAGTGTTTATTGACCGAACTTTGTGTGCATATTCACCACGTGAGTTAAAACCAACTTGCCCTGCATTCACGGCGCGGGCAGTTGCCCCGTTCGCGTTGCGTTGTGCAGTTTTGGCTGTTTATATACTTCAACTTGGTGAGTCATTTAACTTGCAATAAACTCGGAGTTAAAGTAGGACAGTATAACCAATTCCTACAGATGCAACCTGTTTCATGTCAAAATGCAACTTTCCAGCCGTAAAAGCAAAAAAAAAAAAAAAAAAAGTCCCTGCCCCCCTCTAAAACTGATAATTTGAGAATAAGTTGAGAAATACAGGATTTTTTGGGGAAAATATGTTTTGCCCCCATCTAGAAAAAAAATCCTGGCAACGCCCATGTTTCCAGCTTTTGCACGAAACTTTACCCGAAACTGTTCATTTATTTAGCTCCACTGCGCATGTCTGTCATCACGCGAGGGGCCAGGCGCAAGTAAGCTGGGGGAAGTAATCGATCGCACTCTGTATAATTATGTCTTGGTGAAGTTTCCTGCTTTTGTGACAAGTGGGAACAACCGTTTTCACTGCAGGCATGATGAGTCCCGCCCCTTTTTTTAAATGGATGCCACACCCCTTAAAGAGTGAATTTGCGATGGCTCCACATCTTAAACGTTTTCTGGCATGAATATGAACATCTGTGCCAAGTTTCACGTTTTTATTTTTATGAAAAAGTGCACAATTCATCGATATTTTGTCACATATCCGCTGGACTAGTAGTTCCCATTTCCCCGAAAGTGGTATATGTAACCGATGTAACAGATTAACAGGTACCAGCAGGTTCAGTTGTACTTTGGGACCTGTGGCGATGATTTGGTGATTCTGACTGGACCTTACTTACATTGAATACATAAATAGCCAGCAGAACTGTTGGTGCTTGAAGAAAAAAATCCATTGGAGGTTGGAATCCCATGAACAAAATTGAAAGTGTAATTACCAGCATAGTCACTAATTGAGCACACAAAACATGGAACATGTTATCCCGAAACTTTAATATCAAAGAAATAGTGAGACCCATGAAAGCACTGTCTAATACCAAAAGGAATGAAAATACGTTGAAACCATGGAACAGCCCACATTTGACTGTGCGTTCCCAAAAGTTATTAATGGAGATTATTGACATGAAATTAACAAGCACCCCAAACAAGTAAAGTTTGGTGTTCTGAACATATATACTATCCTCAAATCCCTTGCCTTCCTTGAATATTTTTTCATTATAAATATTAGCTAATGATGAAATAAAGCATTGGAGAATCACCCACACATATCCCTGATATTTACCAATAATTGAAATACTGTCAATGTGATGCAATACATGCCATTTATTCTGCTTGGTGGAGCAGAGCTTTAAACTGCTGCAGTGATCAATCTGCGATGTATCAGTGACGCAGGTTACATGATGTGATGAAGGCAATTTAGTTGGATGTATCGCCTTCATGTTGTTTATTCCACTAGTTCTGTGACTTTCTGCTTCATGTGATTGATGGGATAGTGACATAATGGTTAAGAAGAGTATTACAAGAGAGGCCCACTGTACTTGACTCAGCTTTCTCCTGCATTAAAAGGACAACAAAATGAAGATGACATTAAAATACGCTGACACACATGTAAACACGTGTGGAACCAGAACCCCAAATGCATTTATTGTCACTGCAATGCATTGTGACTGTGAGCATTCTCAGTAGTAGTTGAGTGGTAAGACGCATTCTTAAGATGCTATTATACATTCTACGTTGCGCTTATGAAGTTTTGCTTTGTGTCTCAGTGAACTTAGCCAATCACAGACAATAATGGAGTCTCTGACTACTTGCTAAACATAGAAGTGAGTTCTAAAACCTACAGTAATAAGTTTCAAAAAGTGCTGATAACAACTGGAGGAAATGTAATTCTAAACATTTTGCTGGTACATGTACTTTGACGAGCAAAAATATCTGTAAGAATCCACTATATTTTATCATCTTATCAGTCTAAATCAGGTTAAAATTTTGTTGACTTTTCGATTGCAACTGGATCAGCTGAAACTTCAAATCCTGTGTAATGCTTTTAAACATTATTTTACTGCCCTGGATTCAATGGGAGTAGGGTTTCTCCAGCTTTAGTTGGGTTGTAGATTGACTGGTAAAAGAGGCAAGTCAGAGGGTTGCATGGAGTAGTTGTCCAGAGAGGGGAATTATATTTTTCTAAGCCTGTAGGATCATTCAGTGGGACACCCACCTTGATTTTCTATAAAATATAAATTTTCAATACTTGAAACAATATGGTGGCTGAAACATGGTTGCTGAAAGGCATGGTTGCTGATAATGACTATCCAATTCCTAGACGACAAAACCACTGCAGGCATTCAGCTTCACTCAACTTTGCCTATCATGAACTCTGTCACTTATTTAAATATCTATCCATCAGGGTAATGTCAATTCAATAACGGGTACATAGCTCTTAATCGACACAGTTTTTATAAACACTGTATACTCAGTGATGTCCCGAGTGACTGATATTTAAATATCAATGAAGCACTTCCATGTTTCTTTGAAATCAACAGGAAGAACAAAATTAACACTAGGTCCCAAAAAAACGCAATGGAAAAAAATGACTTCACCTGAAGCCCCCCCCCCCTCCAAATGGTTCTGCTTCCGGTTTCCCTACCTACTGTACCCTATTCTGACAGCCCCTACCCTATTTTTTAATGAGAAAATTGAGAAAAAAATACCCCAAAGCATCGAATTCTACCTTTTACCCTTGACTACACGTAGATGCCTCCCTATGATCGTACACAAAAATATTGCCCAAAACAAAACAATTCCCTACCTACCCTTTTTTCGAATGCCATGTAATCGGAAGCAGAACTCTTTTTTTTGGGGGGGGGGGGGTCTTATGTAAGTTTGCATCATTGGCAACATGATGCAGTATTCAAACTAGCCTTTAGTCAAGTCCCACGCGCCTATACCCGGACCATCTGAACACGTAACGCACCCCGGATGCAATGCACACGTGTACGTAGTTTTAGAGCCGTGGCAATCAAACTATAGAATGCGATCTCAGGACTATTAAACATCAATGCTTTGTTCCCATTTTCTGGTTTAGCAGTGAGTTAAAAGTATGCACTCCTTTATGCACTGACGACTCTGTCTGTCCATTTCATCTGTCTTTAGGGTCCAAAGTGTGACATTTTTTCTACCTCTGTTACCTAGAAACTTTGTCATTTGCCATTCAAGTGTTGTTAAAATAAATCCAAACTAATTTCTATTAGCTAAAAAGTGGACCCCAAATTTATAGAATGGGCCACATATTTTCTTTCAACAAATTTTTCAAATGTATTAAATGTGGATCTTTGAAAGTCCCTCTTAACTTTTGGTCAAACCACAGTAATCTCAAATGAAGAAATTATATGTAACCGACAAAAACACTAAAAACACAGCAACTACATACAGCGGCAGCAGAACAATTTTGAAAGGGGGGGGGGGGGGCAATTAACACCAAAGCACCACTGGTGCCAGCTGGATCTCCAACAGAATGTCTTGACCCAAGACTACCCCTCCCCACCCCCAGTCCCACTGCCATGTCAATTGCAGTGTAAATGTAAGAAGACCTTCCCGATGCTTGGAAGCGATCATTTGATCCTCTTATTTCCAGAAAAGGTCTGTTAACTACAGAACTTAATATTATTTTATGTCAATCCAGATCATACACTAATCTGGGACTTGCCAAGAGTGGCCGGGGTGGGGGGGAGGGGGGAGTGGAAAAAGTGGGGGCCCAGTTCAGCAGTCAGTGACTGCATGTATGTATAGCAGGAATCATAGCACACGTACCGGTATGTATGGCAGGAATCATAGTCAGCACCTATGCCCATGCACTTTAGATGTACATGTAGCTACATCTTATTCCACTCTTCAAAATTGATTCCAAAATGTTTAACCATACATTCATAAATACCTAAGACGGTTTACCTGTTCCCATTGGCTGAGAGCCCATCAAATGGCCAGTTTTAAATAAGGGAATAACAGTGTGAGGAGCCGGTCTTCACTGTGTGATAATGACCGGGTTTGGGGGTGACCGCTGTTAATGGACCGAGACGAAGTTTAACGAAATAAACAGTTAAAATGCTCCAATTTTGTGACTTTCTTTCGGCGATATTTCCAGACTTTTTTGTGTTCATGTTCATGGGCCATATTTTAACTTATGCGTGGTACCCTGTCTCTTCGATACGCGTTGTTATATACACCACAGCCGGGCCCAGGCTGTGCTGGACATTGCTGGACAATGTCTTCATTGCGAAGGCGCACGACGTCCAGGGTTTGGACTTCTGCTGCCGTAGCGAAACAAATTACAACAATGTTTTCATATTTTTACCTGATGGAGGAAGCTGAAATTTCGTTTACACCCTCCTTGTGTCCAGAATTACAAAGATGCTTGGTTTAGGAAAGGTAAATATGTCATTGGGCGAAGTGTTTAAAGAAAATAAATCGTAGATCTACCCTTTCGTCGTAAACATCCTCAGTATACTGCACTGCTGTATGTACGATGTCCAGTCGTTTTAAAACTTCCTTACGCGCGCGCGCACCCACAGCAACTGTGTTGCGTACGCTCGCGTCAGTCTCACGCGAAGGTGGTTGAGCGCATGTGCAGAGCTGTATTGTTACAAGCTGCCGTATGACTGTTTGGCCAATCATTGCCTTCCATGGGGCTGGATCAATTCTGGTTCAGGGGCCATTTTTTTCGCTTGTTCTTTGAAGCCGGTCTTTATATCACCGTTAATGCACGGCCACGTGATCGAGTCTCGACCAATCAGAAACCATCAACTCTCCAAGGTATTTATTAATGAGTGATAAGATCAGCTGGCTGGTCTTAAACACCTTTCCCAGTGTCACATGAAAATTTTGACTCCTTTGAAATCCGATGCCTTTTGGTTACAGTTTTATTGCTTGAACTTTCACAATAAAATAATAATAATAATAATAATCGGCATTTAAGAACGCTCTTATTAGTAAACTAAATCACAGCGCTTAAAGTATTATTATTACCTCTGATCATTGGGTCAATTAAACATTCCAAATACCATCTCAGCTCCCTGGGGAGTATATAGCTCGATGCTGCCTGTTAGGCGCAAGCAAGCTTATTCAATCACAATAACCATCTCTGCCCTCACAGGTACCCATTTACTCCTACATGTAGGTAGAAATGTGCATAACTACCAGTAAGTATGTGTGCCAATCTCCATGCAAGGAGTTGTTAACATGGATACTACCATAATATTGCAACAGGGGTGTTTCGAAAAACATGAAGTAAAAGTGCTGAAAACAAAATGTTGGAAATTTATAATTTTGACTTGTTTGGACTTTTGGACCGAAATGTTTTGATTTTTTTTTTTTACTGAAAAGGTATTTACATGTATGAATGGGAATAAATATGTGCTTGGCCGGCATTAAACACTCTGTTTAAGACAGCTTGAAATCTGGATGCTGATAATTTGGCTCGTGTAATTATCAGCATCCAGACTCATGCCGGTCTTTAAACAGAGTGTTTAAACCAGCCAAGCACACATTTATTCCCTTATTGTATGATAATGGTAAATAATAAAAACATGCTTACTTTAATATAAGTCTGAAGAGAAGAGCTGTAGATATGATGACAAAGTTGTTGAGCAACACAACCATTGCCTGAAAGACAATCAAGATAAAAGAAATGGTCAAATATAATATGACAACAGGCCTATACATGTTTGAACATACATGTAGGCCATTTGAAATAAGGCTATAGTGTAAATGTGCTTTGAAACCTTTCTTCAAAAGTAACTACATGCATAACAGTTACAGTTCACTTCTTCCTATTGGAGCCTGTCATTTGTACTTCATATACATGTACATTGTATATCATTATGTTAATTCCCTGACAAATCTGTAAACATATGTGCTTAGGTTGTTTAGGACAATACAGCAGGGAGTACATGTATGGCACATGTGGTTTGAGATGGTACACAGACTAACAGGTTCAACACAACTGAGATGTGCTTAAAACTGACAAGTAACAAATTTGACCCTTGAATCAGGAAAACAAATGTCTAGTAAGGGAAAAGCCTTTGGTTTTCTGGGGTTTTTTTGGGGGGGGGATGAGGGAGTTTCCTTTTTCTCATAGCTGCAGAAAACCTGTTTTTGTTCTGAAATGTTTCTGTTCTGATTTTTTTTTCTTTTCTTTTTATTCCACCCTAAATCCCATAAACTTTGAAAGCGGAAAAGCATTGTTTTTGTTCTGATTTTTTTTCTTTTTGCTTTTCCGCTTGAAAGTGGAAAAGCATTGTTTCTGTTCTGATTATTTTTCCTTTTTTTCTTTTTATTCCACCCCAAATCCAATAAACTTTGTACACGTTTTGTTCCCCGCGGCATTTTGGACCAAACTTGTATTCTTATGAAACTTGTCCCATGTAAAGACCCCATAGTGAGATAGTGTACCCAAGAGTGACATTACAATGACGTCATCATGAGTCACGTGATGTCATCTTCAATATGCAAACTTTAACACCCTATATTTTGAGAACTGTAAGTCCGATTGGGTTGAAACTTGATATGTAAGTAGACCGGGATGTGTTATAGATGAAAATTGAGGTGACGTCATCATGAAGTCATCATGTGGTTTTATATCGATTTTTGAAGTTTTGGACCTTTAAGCCATATCTCACGAACGCAATATGCTAAATTCAAAATTCTATTTGTATTATGTTTGTTAGGAAACAGGTACATACACAAAATTGTGAAAAATGTGTGACTTCATGATGACGTCATCAACAATAGGATTTTGTAAAACACATATAAGGGAATGAAACTTGGTAGGTGGGTAGATATTGTACTAGTACACAATATCTGAAATGACGTCATGATTACGACATCAGTAGATTTTTAACGATTTTTACATTACAATATTTACAATATTTACAATTTTATTCTGCTAAAAAATTTAACACTTTTATTCATCCGATTGGCTTCAAACTTGGCATAGACTAAAACCACAATGAAATAATGAGCACTGCCAAGTATTGTTACGATGACGTCGTCACGGGGCATGTCACGTCATCGTGAACGTACATTTTTGTAAGTTTCCTATTGAAAAAATATTTGACTGATTGGCTCAAAAGTCTGTATGAACGTAGTCCGACACGTGTTACGGAGGGAAATTAACCTAGAGTCAGGGTAAAATGATTTCTGCTCACTTTAACAGTTTCTGCCTGTTTGAACAACTTTGATCATGAACTTTACTAATAAAAGATGACACTGATTTCATACACAAGGGCTGGTTGGATAGTCATAAAACTTGGCGGGAAGTCAGATATTGTTATTAGTAGGCAAAATCCGAGGTGACCCCATCATGACGTAATCGGTTGATTTCTTTACAATTGTTTTTATGAATTTCCAAATATATTTCCTGAAGAGTGACGTCACGATGACATCATCATGGGTCACGTGACGTCATCTTAAATGTGCAAACTTTAAGACCTTACCAGTATATCTAGAGAACCGTAAGTTCGATTGGGTTGAAACTCGGTATGTAGGTAGACCGGGATGTGTTATAGACGAATTTGAGGTGACGTCATCATGACGTCATCGTGTCATTTTATATAGATTTTTGAAGTTTTGGACCTTTAAGCCATATCTCATGAACCCAATATGTGAAATTCAAAATTCTTTTTGTATTAGGTTTGTTAGGCAATAGGTATATGTACACAATTTTGAAAAATGTGTGACGTCATGATGACGTCCATCAAAAAGACGTTTTTTTGAAACACATACACGTATAAGAGAAAGTCCGACTGTCATGAAACTTGGTGGGTGGGTGGAAAATAACACTAGCATACAAAATCTTGAAGGATGTCATGATGACGTCATCAGTAGATTTTTGACGATTTTTTTAATATTGCCAATTTTATTCTGCTTACAAAATTTAACACTTTCATTAATCCGATTGTTTTCAAACTTGGTACAGACTAAAACCACAATAAAATAATGAGCACTGCCAAGTATTGTTATGATGACGCCATCATTAGACATGTGACGTCATCGTTAACGTGTATATTTTAAGCCCCTATATCTCATGAACAGTAAGTCAGATTGGGTTGAAACTTGGTATGGGGGTAGGCCGGGATGTGTTACAAATAAATATTGAGGTGACATCATCATGACGTCATCTTGTGATTATATATATATATTTTTTTTAATTTTGAAGACTTTTGCCGTGTCTAACAAACGCATTATTCCAAAATCAAAATTCTTTTTTAATTAGGTTTGTTAGACAAAAGGTAAATGCACACAGTTTTGCACAAAACAGAAAAACATGACCTCAATTTAAAAAAAAACATAATGCAGAAAAGCCCTATGTTCTGTTGGAAACAGACATAGACCTCTAGTTTTTTTTTTCTTTTTCTTTTTATTCCACCCCAAATCCCATTGACTTTGTACACGGTTATTCAGTGCGGCACTTTGGACCCAAAACACACTCGTATTCTAATGAAACTTAAAATATGACCCCATAGTGAGTTTGTGTCCCGAAGAGTGACGTCATGATTACGTCATCATGGGTCACATGACGTCATCTTATATGTGCAAACTTAAGACCCTATATCTTGAGAACTGTAAGTCCAATTGGGTTGAAACTAGGTATGTAAGTAGACCGGGATGTGTTATAGGTAAAAACTGAGGTGACGTCATCATGACGTCGTCGTGTGATTTTATATTGATTTTTGAAGTTTTGGACCTTTAAGCCATATCTCACGAACGCAATATGCTAAATTTAAAATTCTTTTTGTATTATGTTTGTTAGGTAACAGGTATATTCACAAAATTGTGAAAATTGTGTGACGTCATTATGACGTCATCAAAAATGTGATTTTTTAAAACACATATAAGGGAATGTCCAATCGTCATGAAACTTGGTGGTTGGGTAGATAATAGTACTACTAGTACACAAAATTTGAAATGACGTCACGATGACATAATCGGTCGATTTTTTACGATTTAAAAAAAATATTTACAATTTTATTCTGCTTACAAAATTAAACACTTTTATTCATCCAATTAGCTTCAACATGCTAAATTCAAAATTCTTTTTGTATTAGGTTTGTTATGTAATAGGTATCTGCACAATTTTTGTGGAAAATGTGTGACGTCTTGATGACGTCATCAAAAATGTGATTTTTAAAAACACTTTAATATAAGGGTAAGTCTGATTATCTTGAAATTTGGTGGGTAGGTACCCGGTAGATAGTGTTAATAGTATGCAAAATCTGAAGTAACGTCATGATGACGTCATCACCTAGTTTTTTTTATTAATTTATCAACTTTTTTACATTTTCTTCTGATACGAAAATTTGACAAAGTATTTTTTTGAAAGTATTTCTTTACACGTATTATTTTTAAAGTGCGGAAAAGACTGTGTCCTGTTCATCGAACAGGCATAGCTCTAGTTTCCTTTTTATTTCACTCCAAATCCCATAGACTTTGTACACGTTTATTCAGCACGGCATTTTCGACTTTAAACAAACTCGTATTCTAATGAAACCTAAGCTATGTAAAGACCCCATAGTGAGTTTGTGTCCCGAAGAGTGACGTCATGATTGCGTCATCATGGGTCACGTGACGTCATCTTAAATGTGCAAACGTTAAGACCCTATATCTACAGAACCGTAAGTCCCGATTGGGTTGAAACTTGGTATGTAGGTAGACTGAGATGTGTTATAGATAAAAATGGAGGTGACGTCATTATGACGTCATTATGTGATTTTATATAGATTTTTGAATTTTTGGACCTTTAAGCCATTTCTCATCAACAGAACAAGCTAATTTCCAAATTCCTTTTGTTAAAGTTATGTACATGTCAGGTCATACTTACATACATGTATGTGCGTACAAAAATGTAAGTGTGTGACTCATGATGACGTCATCAAAAAATTGAATTTTTGGCCCTTTAGCCACATATCATCAACAGAACAAGCTAATTTCAAAATTCTTGTAAGAGGTATGTAAGGTACCGGTAATATTTATGTGCACATCAATTGTTTAAGTGTGTGACGTCATGAAAACGTCATCAAAAATTGAATTTTTGGACCTTTCAGCCATATCTCATCAACAGAACAAGTTAATTTCAAAAATCTTTTAGTAATAGGTACTGATATGTAAGGTCATACTTATGTGCACAAAAAATGTATAAGTGTGTGATGTCATGATGATGTCATTAAAAATTCAATTTTTTAAATCACATATATGGCTCAGTCCTATCGTCTTGAAACTTGGTGGGTAGGTAGATATTATTATTAGTATTCAAAATCTGAAGTGTCGTAATGATGACGTCATCGACTGATGTACATGTATTAATGACATGTTCTTCTTATGCAAAAAATGGACAAAGAACATTTTTAAAAGTAATTTTTTTTACACATATATGCAGAAAAGCCTGTCTTCTGTTCATTGAACAGACATAGCTCTATTTCTTTTTCTTTTTGTTCCACCCCAAATCCAATAGATTTTGTACATGTTTCATTCAGCCCAACACTTTTGACGTAAAAGAAAGTCATATCCAAAGGAAACTTAACATCTTATTAAAGACCTTATAGGTAAGACCTACATGTATGTAGATGTTATGTGATGTCATAATGTCATCATCATGGGTCATGTGA